TTGGATTAATAAATCCGTATCAAGTGTCGATGCTTTGCGAAGAACCAGGCGTATTAGAAAAAAATTAACTTTATGACCTAGTTATTAAAACATATCCATCACTTCCGCAACTAATTTCAGTTCTCTCTTTAAGGTTGTTAGTCTTTCTTAAGCCTTGCGTGCTTTTAGCTGTGTACGTTAAGGATGTAACTACTCTTACAATCATAAATTGCTTTATAGTTTCAGTATATGTTTTAAGAAACTGCAAAATATATTCAAAGCTTTATCCTAAACTTCGGCATTAAATCACTGCACCCAGTTATAGACTATTTAATTCACGTCCCTTTAGCACATTTAAGGTAAAACAGGCTCTGCTATGATTTTCAATAGGTTGAAGTGTAATGGGTGCCCTATGACATTTCGATACATTACAATAAATCTAACGGAATGCCAGAGTTGGTTTTGACTTCCGTTATAAGCGAGTTATTTTTTTCAAATGATATATTTAATTTAAACTTTCTTCGACTGATTGAGCTTTGCTGTTTATAAAGCGAAAATGTGCAGATTTAAAGCCCTTAAAAGATGATACGCAACTGAGATTTCAAGATGGATCTAAATTCTTCCCTTTAAATGAATCTTTTAGAAGTCTTGTTTAGATAAAATCTATTAAATGTACTCTGATATGCCAGCTTACTGATTTTATAAAATTTTTAAATGTACCCAAATTTATGCTACACCAGGTATTAGATAAAATGTTGTCCCTAAGATACTTCAGATTTGCATTGGATTTATCCAAATAGTATCCATCGAAATTGCATTTTAATTAAATGAATAGGAGTTTAAATATTCGATCTGGTAATTAGTTAGAGACATGCATTAATACATGAGTATGCATGCTTATAGCTTCCAATAAATAGTAGACGCTTGATTGTAAAAAAGTATATATATTATTCAGGATCAAGTTTTCACCTTCTTCCATTAAATTCATTGCTTTCTTGATCCACACATGCGGAGGAATAGATGAAAATCGCAGAGCCTTGACAGCTTCATTCCAGTTCGTATTCCCAATTGAATAAGCTTACTGTCTGATGCTTCTCTAGAACTTCCTTGCGAATAAATGTAATCCAGTTCGCCTTAAATAAATGCTTATATTTTATATTTCTTAATCCTGACATAGTTAGTATACGTTTTACAGTTAACTGAAGTTCTCTGTACTTATATAGATATTTTTGAATGTATTCTAAAATAAACTGATTAAACAAAACATATTAAAACATGAGAATATTTTCGAAAAGTGCATATATATATATATATATATATATATAGATAGATAGATAGATAGATAGAAAAGTAATATCATGATGCTATTGAATGGTCATGCAGAAATCTTAACAGTCCATTTAACAAGTAAAGAAATTGGGGATGATTTTCACGTGGCCCAGTCATTCGGAAAAATAATGTTTTGAATAATTCATTTTAGAAATAAATCAAGTATATACTTGGGCCTACGCATTATGTTTCGAAAATTGCGTATAATACTGTATCGTAAAAATATACTTAAAAAATAATTCCATAATCCCACTCATCATTTCATGACTTTTATTTATCGAATATGGAATACTACATACACTAGCAGATGAAAAAGCTCATAGGTAATGGAATGAATGGATTGGATTGGATTTATTAGATTATGACAAATATAGTAACTCCAGCTTTAAAAGAGGAGAAATACCTTCGTGAAAGATTTACTAAGGAAAACTTTTACACTTTAACGTTATAGTACATAAACTCGTGAGAACATTTATGAAATCAGTTTCTTCGTCGGACGAACTACCAGTATTTTATGTTCGAATCCATTTGACCATTAGTACGCAGGAACGAATCAAAGCATCCGTCATCCTTTCTGTGAGGCAAGTTATGTTTATAACAATAATCTTTAAATCCGTGTTTGTTCATCAAGAGCGTGGGTAAGAATGCTTTTAAAGCTACGACTTTTAGTCGAATTTTTAAACTCTGTTACCCACAGGGCCGTCTATATACTGCCGAGAATACGTTTTATGACGTCTTTAAGAAAATAAATACACTTGCATCTTGAAATATGTTCAAGAAATCAAGGTAATGTATTTAAAGTACATAAACCCAGATATAAAGATTCTGGCATTCAAATCAAGAAAATATATCTTTCTCCTGGCAGTTTTGGAAAATATGGCCTTTCTTAAGAGGGCTTTCTTAGCGAAATTCTATGTGGGTCAGAGGTATAATAAGAATGGAAGTAAAAAATGATGTTTAAAATGCCTTAAAACATTAGTATTTTTATTATTTTGCTTGACTGAGAAAAACCATAGGGTTTCCTGTCGAAGTTAAAGATTTTTTTTTAATTACAATAGTGTTGCAAGTACCATTTTCTTAAAGCTGGATCTAGTATTTTAAACTATATTTTAATTTATGACAATTAGCGATATTATTATGATAATGATAAAGACTGAAGTTATCAAATATCCCGTTAATTAGTTTAAACAGCTCAGTTACTTACAGTTAAACTCCGAAAGATAAATTCAGTACCTTATTGCCGTTCGACGATAAATTCAGTATCGTCGAATGGCAATATTTTCCAATTTGCGTAGGTGATAAATGCATTATTGCATATCGAAACTGTCCAAAAAATTTAGAAAAGATACTTCTGGATTCTGCTCATAGGAAAAACACGAACGAAAACTAAAGTAACATCCAACCCATTACTAAATAATGTATATTAAATTACTGTTAAATATTACATAACTAATTTACACACATTGTATTGTGCACTGTTAGTGAGTCAGCTGGAGGGAAGTTAATTTTGGAACATGTTTATGTCCTTGATTTCGTTTAAAAATATAAATTACAGTTCTGTCATATATTATACAGATAAAAGGGGTTCACAGTTTTTATACATATAAAGCTAACTGAAATATATATAATTGCCACGACCATAGGCTATGTTATATTTAACCAATACTTAGATAATAAAATAGATTATTTCCAGATGGTAATTATATTTATTTCAAATTAAGTTTATAATTAGTTCTGCCGAAGAGGCAACACTAAAGCAGAAGTTGTGTTAATACATATGAGAAATTCAAACTATCATTTTGAATATATTTTTTCAATGAAATATTTAAGTCCTTACAATATCATAACTTCTTAAGCACTTATGCGAAATAAATATTTCACTGAAATCAGTTTTCAATTAGAAAAACGGATTATGAAGACTTTCAATTTCTGACAAATATGTAATTATTTGATTACATGCTACAGAGTTCGATATGCTTCGTGATTATTAATTTTCAAGCATTACGTTAAAAATTCTTGACTGAAAAATTACATAGTTAATATCAAATAGTACCTAGCTGCTCTAAAATGTAGTTTTTCGTCGGATTGCCAAGCAAAACTAAATTTAAACACACTTAAATAAAACGCTGTAAATAACAATTATAAAAACAACAACAGCAATGCAAAATTTTTCTTAAACATGCCAATAGATGGGACAATGTATCCAATGGATGGGTAAAAGTCTTAAGAGGCATACAACATTGTGATTAGTAATCTCTGATAGAGAGATGCTATACAGAAGTGAAATAAATCGTACTGATAATTGAGATTTAAAACTTTCATATCAAATTAATTTGAATAATAATGGACTGTAAGGCTTAAATATTTATACTTTTAAATATTATGTGTATTCTTTTATTGTGGTTTGTTAAGTATAATTTGATATAATTATATTTTATTGTCGTAGAATATAGCCTTAATTTCATAAACCTTAATATCTCCTTAATATTTATCAATGATTTCTATACATTTTCTTGTTTAATTTATAAAACATGTTAATAATCTAAATAATCTAAATCTAAATACAATGTATATATATATGCAGTGGTACTTCGACATATGAGTTTAATTCGTTCCGTAACGTTGCTCGTATATCATATTGCTCGTATCTCAAAGCAATTTTCCCCATTGGAATTAATTGAAATGCCATTAATCCGTTCCAACTCCCAAAAAACCACCTCAGTTGTTTTTGTTAAGTGTTTTTGAATAAGAAAAATGTATTTACAATAAGAAACATTTATTTATAAATAATAAATACATATTCTATAAAAACATACTTAAAAGAAAAATTGAAGTGCTTACGGAAGCGCTTAATTTCGTGAATGGTCTTCCTGTTTTCGTCACACTTGGCTCATTTTCACCTGCAGATCGTTTAAAAAAACTGTCTAAACTTGTTTCTTCCTACCTTTCAGGATATTGCGGAAATGAATTAGGCAAGTTTCATTGAACAATTACGATGCGCGGCCAGTTGCAACGTTTTCGGGATGATTTTTATCTACGAACTCTACAACTTTCTCCCACATTCCCAAGATCTCCTTTATATCTCTTGTAGGGATAACCTCCTCCATCTCTGGCTTCTCTTCAAAAATAATTTTTCGTTGAACCAACGTATGCTGGGCGATGTATATCGTGTAATTCCTCGGTTGTCAGCTCCTGAGACTGTTCCTCGACGAGTTCGCTCACAATCTCTCTCCTTCACCTCCGGACCCATGGATTTTCCCAGAGAAACAATCTCTTCTACCACTGACACTTCGGATTCCAATCCTTCGAAGGCCTTTTCAGCTACAGCCTCAGGGCCCAACTTCTTCCATGCAAGGGTTAAGATCCTCGTTGGAACACCCAGCCAGGCCTGATCAATAATTCTTAGGCATATCACGATGTTAAAGTGGTCCTTCCAGAACCCTCGAAGTTTTGTGTTCTCCGTCACCTCAAAGCAGCGCCGAAAAATGTGCTTGGTGTACAACTTCTTAAAATTAGAAATCACCTGCTGATCCATGGGCTGCAGGATAGGAGTGGTGTTGGGTGGTAGGTAGAGAATCTTTATAAACTTGAACACTTCGAGTAAATCATCTTCGAGATTTGGTGGGTGAGCAGGGGCATTGTCGAGGACGAGAAGGGCTTGCATGGGTAGGTTGTTTTCCTGTAGATATTTTTTAACAGAAGGGCCAAACACCAAGTTTATCCACACCACAAACAATTTCCTGGTGACGCACGAATTCGGATTTTCCCTCCACAACTGGCAGTTTTTCTTTTAAAATCTTATGTGACTTAAAGACTCTGGGATTTTCCGAAGGCAATGGCTTGATTTTGCAGTCACCGCTCGCATTGGCGTAAAGTGCTAGAGTTAATCTATCCTTCATGGGTTTGTGACCTGGCATCGTCTTCTCCTGTGCCGCTGTGTAAGTCCTATTCGGCATTCTTTTCCAGAAAAGCCCTGTCTCGTCACAGTTGAAGACTTGCTGGGGGATGTATCCTTTGGCTTCTATCAGTTCGGAAAACGTTTTGATGTAAACTTCAGCTGCCTTCACATCCGAACTTGCTGCCTCACCATGCCTGATGACGGAGTGAATGCCGGTCCTTTTCATAAAGTTGTCAAACCAGCTCCGACTGGCTTTAAACGAGTCTTTCGATTCCTCATTTGTGGAAGTGTGTGGGATCTGCTTCAGCAAATCACCGGAAATCGCTAGTGCCTTCTCACATATGATGCTTTGTATTAAGCTTACTCCTTGAAGCTGCTTCTCTGTCACCCCCACCATCAGTAGTTTCTCCATCTTTTCATGGAGAGAGGTCCGGAGCTTAGAAATTATTGTAACGTCCTTAGCTGGCGTTATACCCTTTATCAACTCATTCTGTTTAAGCACAGTATGTATCATTGATGTGCTACGCCCGTACATCCTCGCCAAGTCAATTACTCGCACACCTTGCTCATGTTTTTCTATGATTTCACGTTTTAATTCAATAGACATCATCTTCTTCAGACCCATGGTTATAAAAATAAATGTAATAATGTTTTGTAAATGAACAAAAAGCAAAAAACGCAAACCCAACTTATCAAAATTGCTCCGAAAACGAGGGAAACAAGCACACAGACTGAGGTCTAGTCTGAGGTGGGAGAAACTGTTAGACGCTGCACACAACACCAACATGCGCGTGCATGTTGCGGTCGTGTGCAGCGGCGTAGTGTGCGATTCTTCGTTTCTCAAATCTTGCTCTCATCTCAAAGCAAAATATCGCTCGCTCGTCGGCTCGTATCTCAAAACACTCGTATATTAGGGCAGTCGTATAGCGAGGTACCACTGTATATATATATATGGATAGATAGTTTTGAAAAGGGGATGATCTTCAAGCAATGGTGAAAGTTACACAGGTTGAGAACCACTCTGCTAGATGGATTTAAATTAGAATTATCTTAAAATTACAATATTGTAATTACCCTCTTGACTTATTCAATATGGTGGAAATGACATAGAAACTTACGCAAATCAATAATTAATGGCTTTTTATTTCTGCTTTATTATCAGCTTAGAATGCCTCTGATCGCCCAGTAATAAACTGTGATCATTGTTATGAAGGCTGAAATTAGTTCCCATATTTTGATGATGAATTTAAGTTTCTTGTAATCAAAATTTAATTTCAGTCCCTAAAACTATTAGCGAAAACTGTAAACATTTTTAATGAATTGTACTAGAAATTTTCTTTAAGATATTGCAGTTATATTATTTGTGCTTTTTAATGTCTATATGAAATTTATTAATGTAATCAAAAAATAGATTTATTTTGAAGAAACTAATTTTTGTTTTATTTCAGTAAAGTGTGGGATGATAAAACCCATCTTAGCATGCTATACAGAACAAGAAACGTTACTAGTCTTAATCATATCTTTCAAACTAAAAAATGAAATTCATGTGCGCTAAATCGCAACATCTATGTCTTCATTAGATTGTTCAATACAATAGTCATATGCACCAGAGGTGGACTGGGATATCGATATATAAAGCTAGGAAATCCTCTCCTGTTTTGAGGTCAGTCTGAACAAATACTATATAGGAACGTTTTTTACAAATTATCTACACTCTGTGCAACTCTTAAACTTCTGAAGATATCTTGAAAATATATTTTTGTCATGATAAATAAGTGTAAATATTGTGTGATTCAAGCTGTAGTTTTAAATGTTGTTTCGAAGTGTTAATAACGTGCTAATCTTACAATTATAAAAACAGGTAATTCATCGACTATTGAAAATATTAGAATACTTCCGACTGTGTAAGAGGTTAAAATCTAGATGTCAGAAATAGATACTTGGCTTTCGCTTTACTCATATATAAAAATAATATAAATCTACTTATAAGACTGCCCAAAGATACATATCTTTTACGAAGAAGCTTGATCACAGTCATTTGTAGCATTTGGAGCTCTCCTAAAATTCTGGATATGATAACAAAAATTGTCCAATTCTATACATGTCAAACGCTGCTTGAAATGAAGTCAATGACATCAAAGAACCTTAACGTTCGAGTGTAAATACTGGATGGAAGAAGAGGATTAACAATAAAATCGTAACAAGCTTTTGCAATGAAGTTGTAGTAGAGTATTCAACAAAAGAACCTGAGACGAGTATCTCTCAAAGTGTAGTGAACCATTTTAACTGTTTTCTATGCCAATCAAATGATTTTTTATATAAAATAAACTGAGTCTTATATAAATCTATTTCATTTAAATGGCGTCACCTTATTTCTTAGCTCAGTGGCATTGCTTGAATCATCACTTTCAAAAGCTGGATAAGAATCCTGTTACTGTAAACATATATTTCAGGGAAAAAAATTATGATTTTTGGCGTATCTTTTTATTTTTTCTTACCCTAAGTCTCACCGTCAATTTTTTAGCTGTAAGAACTCTGCGTATGTACTTCAACTAATTTGAGTCCTGGTGGGAGCTGAAGAAAGTAGCAGTGAAAATAAAGACCAAAAATAATAAGATAATAGGTCAACAAAAATAGAAACCCTGCAGCTGTGCAGAATAAAAATCTGAAATTGTGTGAAAATAAGTAATGAATGCTAAATTTAAACAGTGACAAATGTTTACATTGATGAAAGAGAAAAAAACGTTCTTAAACTTATATATGCATATGGGAATGTGAAGCATATTTAAGACTCTTAGTCAGTTCAAATGAGCGATTCTGTCCCGCACGGCGAACTATATAGTTTATAAACATCTCTTTTTCTTTATTCTTAGTGTCGCATATATTCACAAATATAAACTGAATTGGTTTAAATGCATTTTAAATTATATGAAACACATCGGTGAACAAGCAAAATAAGTATATATGTTATTTATTGCTTTTAAATCTCTCAGTTTGATAAGCAGGTCTAATTTGAATGCTAATTTAAATACTTTATATCAGGTCGAATGGCAGCATTTTGGGAACTAAGTGCCAAACCGCGAGGAAGATAAATTAAGAACCTTGTAGGGTTTATATTTATTTTAACTAACATTTATTTTAAGTTTAAACTATCTTTCCTGTCAAGCCTTACTTTCCCCTGGAATTGCCAATGCCAGAGTATGTAAATTTTAGTAGAACGCGCAAGGATTCAAATTGTCAGCGGAAGTATCTGAGTTAAATAGAAAGGAAACGAGTTCGAAAGTGTGCTTTCTTACTTCACGAGCGTGGAGGTGGCTAGTTAGAAATTGAAGAACCACGCGTTTCGGCCTGTGTGCTTGCCTCGGCAGTTTGTTAATCTTTCAACGTAATATTCAGAAGTTTGCTGAATTATCAGAGGTATTTTAGAACGCGGTGAGGTTAGTTACGTTTAGAGAGCCTCGTAGTTAGTCACTTGTTACTATCTTTTCTTAGTTTCTTATTTTTATTTTACCGCCGGGTCAGCGTAGTTTGTGAGCGTCAAGAACACGCATTTGTAATTTCTAAAATTGAATAAAAAGGGATTTAAACCCTTCTCAAGACTTTGGTCTACTTTCCAGTTCTTAGCAGTCACCACTGTTGTTGCGTGCAGGTTGGAAGCGCGCAACATTATAACCTTGTATTTAATACAATTTCATTATCTTCTAAGCGGCATCTCCATTAAATGCAATATGTACGTAACATGGAATAAAGGTTTAAAATGTTTGGAAACATTCGCTAGAAACCTTTCTAACGTCGAAATATGTAATAACAGCGTGTATATAAATTAATATTAAACTTCGTTTTACTTGATCCAGTGTGAAAAAAAGGGGGTACTGAAATAACTGGGATTTAAATAGCCATATCGAGGTTAAGTACTTATTTATGAAACACTAATTTCAAAAGATGATAGTTTGCCATTTTGGTCAAAATTCAAATATATAAACATATACTAAAAGGCACATGTGGCTAATGAAACTCATACAGACAATCATATTAGACACATGAAATTTAAAGCGGTTTTTAATTTGGCAAATAACAATAAAGAATAAATGAGAAATTCAGATTCTGGAGCCGTGAAATGTGCTTCATACTTTTTGCCGTTAGCGCTGCGGCAGTACCTATAATTCTAGTGAAATTCTCATTAATGATCAGGAAGCCTGGTTCCCAATCGTGACAGCTCATTAATTACTTACTCTCTGATATTTAATTAAAATTTTTGTTAATGGAATATTACCAAAGTTAATGGCAATGCAAATATTTTTGCGGGGGTCTACACTTCAAATACGCATATGAAGGAACTCAATGCATATTTTGCATCTCAAGATACTTTTTCCTCTTTCAGTTTCGTTTCTAATATATTTTTCCCATAATTTTTGGGAAAAGTACATAGATTGAAAGAATGTTCGTATTTTTTTTATCTATCGTTTTATTAATATGCAGTCAGTAAAGTAAAACTACCAATGAAAATGTTTATATGACTCTCGAATTAGGATTTTTCAGTATATTTATTCAGCTCAGTTTCAGTAATGTAATTCATATAAGCAAATATCGCTCAAACTGACACCAGAATTGGACTAAATTGTTAAGAAATCGATATAACTAGTGTTATTTTGTGGCTGAGAGTCATTACGAATTTAATGTTATGTAATGTCATGTCATCATTACCCACACATGCTCTATGGGATTCAGGTCGGGTGATGTAGTCTACTACGAGAGATGTGGAATGATTTCACTTTCCAGGTATCTCCGCTTCAGTGGAGCTCTATGCGACTTGGCGTTATCGTCCACAAATATCGCTTCGGTACTTAATGCAGCGCTAAAAGGATGCACGCGAGGGTGCAGAATTTTGTCACGATATCGTATGGCTGTGACGGAACCACCAGGAATCGCGTAGAGGTCTGTGAGGCCGATCGTTGCTATCCCAACCCATACAAGTAAGGTTGCTGTCCTGTAATGGTCTCTTTCGACTACGTTTCGTGCCCGACAGCGTATCTCTGGGTTTCGTCATTTCGTTGCTCTTCAGGAATCGTTCTGGATGTTAAATCGAGACTCATCCGTAAACAGCACGTGGCCCCAAAGCTCTGGTGTGCAACTGAAATGTTCACCGGCCCAATTCAACCGCGCTCTGGCATCCGACGGGTACAACGGAACACAATATCTTGCACGTAGCAACAGAAGACGATTGTCCGCCGTTGGGGTAATCTTCCGACGTCCAGACACACGACTTTTACAGTCTTTTTTATCCCTTCGGTAACGATTTCTCAGCTACTAATGACCATGGAGGTAGGAAAGGAAGGAGGGGCAAACCGGCACTAGAAGTGAAGCACTGCTTTGAAGCTTGGGTCACTAGATGGGGTGTTCTTTGTTTACATTCAGAAGCTCGCTTGACAGGGTTCTGATAGTATTTCGACACACGACAGTTCCATACAAATCGAAAAAAGGGACACTTTCGCATGAAAGAAACATTCATAGTGTGAATGGATAATAGCATTTTGTATCGTTTAGTGATATTTACGCAAAAATCACATCTTGGTTATTTTTCGATAACTAACAACAGCGATTTTGATTATGAATTTGCTTTATAAA